AAACTTCCGACCTGACCCCTGAGACGCCCCCGTGATTGAGGCCCTGGGTCTCTCCTAGGGCTCAGGGGGTCTGCAGCGATCAGGTCTGTCGTCGAACCTGAACCCTCGGGGGGCGGAGTTGCCGACGTGCTCCGCGACGGCAACGAAAGCTCTGTCCATGGCGCCCCCTTGCTAAAGATCAGGCGCCTGCTCCTCGGTCCCCCCGACGTCCTCCCAGCTCGGCTGAGGGTGGTGGAAGACGGGAGTGCCTGTAGGTCGACCTCCTGGACCTGGGTTCCGAAAACGAGGCTTCCTGGCGGCGTTCCGTAAGGCGTCCAACAGCTCCCTCTTCTGCGCCGCGTCGATGCCCGACGCGCTCTCACACGCCTCGGCCAAATCCGTTTCATCAGCCTCCATGGCAGGCCCCTGAGAAGAGGACGGGGGCGGACGCGGAAAACTCTTGGGGAAAAAAGGACTCGAACTGGCCAGGGAGAGACTCGTAATGCGCCTGCAAGCTCTCACGAACCTCAACAGCTGCGACACCTGCGATCACACTCCTGAACTCGCCCGTATGCAGACCGAGAGACCCCATACTGGGAGGAACGGCCGACGCGGCTTCGGCTGCAGCTGTCTTCAATTTCTCCAGAGCAGCAGATTCATCATATATGGCCTGGTCCACATCAGCATTCTGGTTGACCAGCTCCTCAATATTGGACTGGAGGCTCTGGGGCTGGCCACGCAGACGAGCAACCTTCTTCTCGCACTGCGTCTGTGCCTGCTCTGCTTTGAAGAAGACCTTTGACGGGGGTACATCTTGCTGACGGGATTGGCGGGCCTCCTCAGATGCGGTGGGGAGAGCGTTCTTGGCAGATTCTGGCAACAGATCCTTGAGACGACCATTGGTAGCCATCTACGCGACGCGGTGCAGTTCGTCAACAGGGTCAATGTGCTGGTGCTTAGGGCCACTGTCGGACTGCGGACGTGCGTTTCCGCCTCCAGGACCCCCCGCCCCTCCTCCACCAGTACTCCCGTGACCTGGACGGGGAGAACCTCCTGCTCCTCCACGGTGTTTTCCCCCTGCTCCTTGTCATCCTTTCCCTTGGCCCTTGCCCTTCCGAGCTCCAACTCCAGAGAAAACCCAAGGTTCACGAACCCAGACAGGTGGAGGAGGTGGAATAAAGCCAGAAAGCCGAGGAAGAGCACCTTTACAGTGGTAGCAGGATTTGAAGTGGGCGGGGTTCTTGTTGCAGCCGCAGGACGGGCATACGACACCAATCGCCGTCTTCCCATCATGAGACCCTTTCCCTGCCATGCCCCGCCGCGCACACGACAAAGAGAAACGAGGACAAGCAACTGAGGCCTGGAAGCGTGGGCTCTGGGTGGCCCTGACCAAAACGGAAACCGGCTGAACCCTTTTGAGAGAGGTTGAGAAAAAAACAAGCCCCTTGAGCCAAAATGGCTTGAGCCAAGATGGCTACGGCTCCTCCTTCTCCTCCTCCTCCTCCTCCTGCCACATCTCATATTGATGCGCCAAATGCCTGAATACTATCCTCAGTCCACCACAGAAAGCATCTTATCCTAATACATCTGCCGAATCAGGCATGAATCTCAGCATCTTCCTCACGACTCAGCCCTTACGACTGATCATACATCATCCGCCTCCTCCAGAACTACCACTCACAGTCTTCACTCATACTCCTGTCTCACACTAACTCATACGCTCCTCAGTACTCACTCCTCCTCCTCCTCCTCCTCCCTTCTCCTCTTTTCTACTCCCTCCCTCCTCCCTCCTCCTTCCCTCCTCCCTCCTCCTCCTCCTCCCCCAGCCTCCTCCTCATCCCTCCTCTTCCGCCTCCTCCTCTCCTCCTCCTCCTCCTCCTCCGCCCTCCTTCCCTCCTCCTTCCTCCTCCTTCCTCCTCCTCCTCCTCATCAACCTCCCCTCCTCCTCCTTCCTCCTCCTTCCTCCTTCCTCCTCGGCATCCTCCTATCCCCCTCTACTCCGTCCTCCTCCTTCCTCTCTCCTCTCCTCTCATCGGCATCCTCCGAATCCTCCTCCTTCCTCCTCGCCCTTCGTCTCGTCCTCCGTCTCCTCCTCCTCCTCTTCCTCCTCTCCTCCTCCTCCTCCCTCCTCCTCCTCCTCCTCACCTCCTCCCCCCCCTCCTTCTCCCCTCCTCCCTCCTCCTCTCCGCCTCCTCTTCCCCTTCTCCTCCGCCCTTCTCCGCCCTCCTCCTCCTCCTCCTCCTCCTCCTCCTCCTCCTCATCAGCAGCAGCAGCAGCACCATCATCACCACCATCACAATCATCATCATCACGACCACCACCATCATCCTCATCATCATCACCAGCATCATCATCATCATCATCATCATCATCATCATCATCATCATCATCATCGTCAGCATCATCCTCATCCTCATGAGCTTCAGCATCAGCATCAACATCAGCATCATCATCATCATCAGCATCATCATCAACATCAACATCAACATCAACATCATCATCATCATCATCATCATCATGACCATCACCATCACCATCACCATCATCACCACCACCACCATCATCATCATCATCATCATCAATATCAGCATCATCATCATCATCATCATCAGCATGGTCATCATCATCATCATCATCATCATCATCATCATCATCATCATCATCATCATCATCATCATCCGCCTCCATCTCCTCCTCCTCCTCATCATCATCATCAGCATCATCATCATCATCATCATCATCATCATCATCATCATCAGCATCAGCATCAGCATCATCAGCATCAGCATCAGCATCAGCATCAGCATCAGCATCATCATCATCATCATCATCATCATCATCATCATCATCATCATCATCATCCACCTCTTCCTCCTCCCTCTCCTCTTCCACCTCCTCCGCCTCCTCCTCCTCCTCCTCCTCCCCCTCCTCCTCCCCCTCCTCCTCCTCCTCCTCCTCCTCCACCTCCTCCCTATCCTATCTGTGGTAGTGGTGGTGGTGACAAATGGGCCCGTTATCACCCGCAGGGCGAGCGGCGCGAGCTCCGCGAGCATGGGCAGGTCGCAGCAGCCAGAGGTCCAGGCGCCGAGCAGCACCTCGAGGGCCTGAGCCGGCTCGTGCAGCACGTCCTCCAGGAGCCGCGCCAGGCGGCGCGCGAGGACCGTGCGCGCCGCGGTGCTGTTGGCCTCGCGCAGGTGGCGCTCGTACAGCAGCCTGCACTCGTGAGGGCGCCCGGACCTCAGAGGCAACGCCAGGGGGCACACAGCAGCTCAGAGGGGGGGTGGGGGACACATCGGCCGGGAATCGGCGAGATGCATGACCGAGGGCATCTCGGCTATCTTGGCGAGAGGCCCCCGATCCTGGGCGAGGGGGGGGCTGTCGGGGCCCCATCGGCAGTCACTGGGCGAGTGAGGGTCGATGCGCTCTCTCCTGAGCCTAAGGCCCCCGTAGCTGGAGGAAGAAACATCTGCATGAGCATAAACTCTTGGAGGTCCGCGTGGATTTCTTGGGTCTGCGCGGAGCTCCCAGCCTTGGCGCCGTGGCGCGCGGAACGCGCCAGGGGCGCCGACAGAAGGAGGCCTGGCGCAGATCCGAGAAAACCGCGCGGAGCTTCGAAAATTGATGCTGTCTTCTCTTCTTCAACTGGGGAAACCAAACGGGACCGATACCGCTACTCCCCGGACCTCTCCCGAGGTGCGTTCTGACCAGAATTTCGAGGCGAATCCAGCGGTGGCAACGAGGGCCTCCGAGGAGGCCCAAAAATCAGGACAACGGGGAAAGGGTAGAGGTATGTGTACCTCTTCCTCTTCTGATCAATGAAGACCGCATCTCGAGGGCGACCCGCTGGATGATGACCTCCGTGCTGCCGCGAGCGAAGCCCTCAAGGGCCCCGTCCAGCGTGCGCCGGGCTGCGTCAAGCTGCCCGCACTGCTCCTCGGCCTTCGCGAGTGCCACCACGGCGTCTGGGCGGTAGCCCAGGCGCCCCGAGGAGATGGCGCCCGCGAGCACGTCACAGAAGCCCGCGAGGTTGCCGTCCTTCTCCTAGAAGAAGGACAGACGGCACAAGCATAAACTTTTGGTGCTCCTCGCGGATTTTTTGGATCTGCGCTGGACCCCCCTCCCTGGCGCGCGGAGCGCGCCGCCAGGGGCGGGGGCCCAGCGCGGACTTAAGAAATTCGCGCGGAGCGCCAAAAGTATTATGTTTACAGTGGGAGCCGATCCACAAGAAACCTTCCACAAGAAACCCAGCCCTGAGACCCCAGGACGCCCATGGATTGTTGGCGCGGAAGCGTCACCCCTTGCATCGCAAACCCATCGAAACTCAAGAAGCCCAGGGCACCCTGGAGGCAAACAGGGCGTGTCTTGGCATGGGCCTCCACTGTACTGGGGGGGGTGCCCTGAATGGGGGGTGAAAACAGGAAAAGGGTCCAAAAGGGGCCCTCTGGGGCACTGTTTTCTTTACCCCCCATTGAGGTCACCGCCCATTCCAGCCCAGCCCATGACGTTCTTTCTTCCTCCATTCTCCTCGGCGGCGTGCAGAGGGGGGAAGCGAGAGGAGGTGGGCCCTCTCGGGAAGGGGAGGCAGGGCTTCTCGGAAGGCGGCGGGGCTCCTCGGAAGCCCTCCCTGGCCTCCACAGCAGCCCTCGGCGGTCTCGGTCAAGGCTGAGAACGCTTCTCCCAGGGCGCCTAACTTCGCGCTTCGCGCTGCGCAGAGCGCGAAGAAGCGCGAATGACTTCGCGCTCTCGCGCCGCCCCCCAGGGGAGAAGAGGGAGATGAGGAGGAATCGGAGACGAACCGCGAAGCGCGAATCAAACTTTGTGCCCCCGAGGGCGCTCTTGGTTATCAGAAGGCCAGAAGCCTCCCGAGCCTCTTGAGAAGGGCCCGCCCCGCTCCCATTATCCTTTGACTCCTCCTCCTCCTCCTCCTCCCCCTCCGCCTCCTCTTCTTCTTCTTCTTCTTCTTCTTATTATTATTATTCTAATTAGTAGTTTTCTGATTCTTACTCTTCTTGTTATTAGCATTCTTATTCTTATTATTATTATGCTTCGTGCCATTATTATTATTATTATTCTTGTTATTCGTCTTCTTATTCTTAATATTATTATTGGCTTTCTTCGTCGTCTTCTTCCTATTATTCTTCGTATTATTATTATTCCTCCTCCTGCTCCTCCTCCTTCTCTTCCTCCTCTTGCTCCTCCTCCTCTTGCTCCTCCTCCTCTCGCTCCTCCTCCTCCTCCTCCTCCTCTTTCTCTTTCTCTTTCTCTTTCTCTTTCTCTTTCTCTCCTCTCTCCTCCTCCCCTCCTCCTCCTCCTCCTCCTCCTCCTCCTCCTCCTCCTCCTCCTCCTCCTCCTCCTCCTCCTCCTCCTCCTCCTCCCCCCCCCCTTCCCACCCTCCGCCTACGTCCCCCTCCTCCCGCCCCGCCAATCTCCAGAGCGGAGCCATAGCGCAGCCAGAACTCGAGGTAATTGTTGGTGGCCACGAGGCAGCGCTCGTACAGCTTTTGCCGCCGGAGCTCGTCGCGGGGGAAGCGGGACTCCTCGAACTCGAGGTACTGGCGCCACGTGTCCAGCTCCCCCGGGCTGAGCACCTCTACCGAGTGGGGGATCGACTACAGAGCTGATTTACCCCAGAATCCTTTTTCCGTCGCATCTGCGAAAAATGCACAGAATGCTCCGTAGATCTACGGGGCATTCTACCTGTTTGTTCGTAGATTCGATTGACAGTCCATTTTGGGGGTAAGTCGATTCTGTAGTCGATCCCCTTCCCCCCTCTCGGGGCGTACGAACGCGGGGGGGAAGCTAGCGCAGGAGAGATTAGCTGATCAGCTCACGCAGCGGGCCTCTTCGGCGCCTCCAGGCGCCAGAGGCGCCAGTGTCTCGAGGTAAGCGCCCGACAGCGGAGCCGAAAGCAGCTGCACGCGGGAGATGTCGCATCACCCTCCCCGTTCCCAGTGCCACCCCTTGTGTTATGCTGTTCCCATCGTACTTACGGACCACATCCCAGGAATAAAATCGAGCACCCAGAAAAAGTATCGAAACAGTAATGAACAAGTGTCGCCTCCCAAGGCCCGACACGTGACAGAACACAAGTTTCCGCAATGCCTTGGTGCTCACAATTCTTTCTGGTGATCAAGGCTAACGTAGGTTGGAACATCATAACCCTTGTGGTCCGAGCCGGGCCTTGTGGTGGAAGTAGGGGCGCTGCAGGCGCAACTCGAACTCACGGGCCTGCTGCCCCTCGTTCGACGTCCTCTCCGGGAGCGCCTCGAAGCGCACACGCCACGCCGCCCGATCGGCCGAGGAGCCCGATGTACATTTAGGTCGGGCATGTCCTCCTACAGGCGGACTCTGCAAGAGGCCATCAAACATAGTCACAAAAGCACGAATCATTGTCACCATACCACTTCTTGACTATTCTCGAATATTCCTTCTGTAGGGGGACATGCCCGACTTAACAGTACCTGTGGGCGCCCGGAATGGGTACGGAAAGAATGGCACGATGCCTAACAACCACATGTGGTACAACACCGGCAGCGGCCGCTGTTAGGCAGGCGGCCCTCTGCCTCAATCGGGTAGCGCCTGTGGCGGTACCAACAGCAGATCTGGATCAAGATGGACAGGAACTACCCCCTGCTCTTCCCGTACCACTTACTACGGTCGTGCAGAGAACAGACGCACGGGCCTCCCAAGCCAAAGGGCGCCGGAGCGTCTGCACACCGAGCCCTCTCGCCAAAGCGGGTGGCGTCGTGGCGGACCAGACGACGCGGTGCATTCGGGCACGCGCTAACATGGACTACGGATCCCGCGCCAGATCCACGGATCGGAGAAAATACTCCCCGACACATGAAGCCGATGCCACCCGGCTCGGCGACTGAGCACGCCGACTCCATACGGAAACGGCACCCGTCGCTGATCCACGCGCCTTCACCCATGTTTGCGCTATCTTGGTGTACAGCAGCGGAGGAGGAAGAGGAGGAGGAGGAGGAGGAAGAAGAAGGGGAGGAGGAGGACGAGGAGGAGAAGGAGGACGAGGAGGGCCCCCTTTCCGATCCTCTTGTACTGCGCCTCGCGGGCGTCCAGCAGCCACTTCACGCGCGGGGGCACCGAGAACCTCGTGCGCTTGAGCGGCGGCGCGGCCGCCTGGGCGCGCCGCGCCTGCGGGGGCGAAGGGGCCCTCCGCACCTCGCCGCCCTGCACCTTCGGCGCGGCCAGGGCCTCGGCCTCCTCGGGGAGCTCGCCGTCCTCGGGGAGCTCGCCGTCCTCGAGCTCGCCCTCCTTCTGCGGCAACTCGTGGGAGCCTCCTGTACCATCTTGTCGGCTCGAATCGACGCTGGTCGGCGCCAGATCGGCGCTACATCGACGCCAGATCGACGCTGATCGACGCCAGCCGACGCTGGATCGGCGCTGTCTCCTCGACTCCCAGACGCGACTGGACGCTACTCGACGCTGAAGACGGGGAATTTGCGAGGGTACGCAAAGGCTCCCAGGATTCGCCGCCGAGCCCCTCCTCCCCCTCGGAGGCCGCCTGCGCCTCCTCCGGGGCCGCCTGCGCCTCCGCGGCGCCGCCCGTCCCGCGCCGGGGCTCGGCGGCAGACCGATCGGCCGCGTCCGCCAGGGGCCGGTCGGCCTCGCCCTCGCCGCCGCCGGCCGGGGCGGGCGCCGTCGCCGCGCCGTCGGCGGGGGTCTCGTCCGCCATGGGCTGGTCGGCCTCGCCCTCGCCGCAGGCGGCAGGGGCGGGCGCCGTCGCCTCGCCGTCGGGGGCCTGAGCCGCAAGGGGCTGGTCGGCCTCGCCCTCGCCGCCGCCCTCGGCAATGGCCAGCAGCTGGGGAGCGGGGTCGCGGCCGCTCGGCCCGTCGCCCTCGTCGGAGGCGGCCGCCTCGAGCTCTGCCACCTCCGCGGGGGAGCACAGCTCCGCAAGCGGTGGGCGTGCGGCGCCGAGCAGCAGCGCACGCAGTCGGACGTGGACTGCAGCCAAGCCGTCCATGGGGACTCCGAGCGCGCGGCGGTAGACTTCACCCACAGCCACCCAGTTGCCGCATGCTTCCTCGAAGTCGAGGCAACGCTCCCAGATCTGACCCGCCCGCCAGTCGAGACCCACGGCCTTGATCGCGCGGTGGAGCAGCGTCCGCACGTCCTCCTCCGACACGCCGCCCCCGTTGGCGTACTCCTTGCACGCGGCGTCAGTGTAGCCTGCCCACAGGTCGACGCAGGGCGTTGCGGCGTCGACGGCACGCTCGTACACCTCGAGGGCGGCCGCGCTGCCGCGCAACCGCACTGTGAGCTCGTACAGCCTCGTCCAATAGCCCCAGCACAGCGGGAACTCCCGGAGAAAGTTCCCGTAACACACCTCCAACAGCTGGGGGGCGCCGTGCTGCTCGACCAGCTTGAGCAGCAGCAGCCACTCCTCGAACGCATGAGGGTCCTCCGACACCGTGGCCATCAGGGTCACCACGTGCGGCGAGGCAAGAGGTCCGCTCTGGGGCCAGCGCGTGACGCTCGGGGGAGCGGCGTCGGGGGTCGCCTGAGAGCCCGCGGCGACGGCCTCGGCGGGGCCCTCGGTGGCAGCTGGCACCGTGGTGGAGGCCGCGGTGGACGGCGGAGCCTCCGTGTGACCACCGTTGAGCTCTGCCAACTCGCCCCCCTCAACGGCGGGGCTGCACTCTGCACCCATCGCCGCCGCGCGGCTGTCTGCAGCCGTCGAGGCGTCCGGAGCCTCCCTCTGGACGCCGCCCCCTGCGGGGCGTGCCACCTCGCCGTGCCCTGCGGCGCGAGCCTCCGCAACGCCGCCATTGGCCGCACCGTCGGCTGCCTCGTCACCTCGGGCGCCGCTGTGGAGCGCCGCGTCGGCCTGCGCCACGCTGCCCGCCTCGGCGACGCCCGCTGCCCCGCCCTCCGCGGCGTTGGCTCTCGGGATCGCTGGGGCCTCCATCCGGAGGAGGAGGAGGAGGAGGAAGAGGAGGAGGAGGAGGCGGAGGAGGAGGAGGAGGAGGAGGCTCGTCCGCTCGGGCGGTCGCTGGGCCTCCATCCGGACGTCGTCCGCTGCAGGGCCTGCCCACTCGACGCACTCGGCGGCGCCAGCCTCTGGAGGGCCGCCATCCGCCGCGCCGCCGCCGCGGGCGGCCGCGCCGCCGCAGGGCGCCGCCGCCGCCATCTCGGCGTCGCCCTGGGCCCCGACGGCGCCGCCCTCGGCCTCGACGGCCCCAACGGCCTCGACGGCGCCCACCGCCTCCACGCCGCCGCCGCGGGCGGCCGCGCCGCCGCAGGGCGCCGCCGCCGCCATCTCGGCGTCGCCCTCGGCCTCAACAGCGCCCTCCCCCTCCGCGTTGCCCGCCACAGCTCCCGGTGCTGCCAGGCCGTCCGCGGGGGCGGCCGCAGCCTCCATGCGCTCCTCGCACTCGCCGCCGCCGGCGTTTGAGGATGCACCGGGGGCCTCCATCTCCACGTCGCCCTCTGCGACGTCTGCCACCTCGCCGTCCTCGGGGTCGTCGGCGCTCGGGGCCTGCGCCGCGGGGACAGGCACGGGCGGGGCCGCGCCGCTGAGGGGTGCCAGCGCCGTCCGCATTGCAGACAGCATGTGGTAGCTGATTCCAAAAGAGAGCAGAAGCACGCAGCTGCTCCTGCGCGGCCACTCCGACTCCCCGTGAGCCCTTGAGCCAAATGGTTGCTCATGATGGCAGAGCCTTGGGGCAAGGGGCCACGCAAGGTTCAAGGTCAAAGACAGCTGAAGAATATCATATACGCCAAAGCCAAGTAATACAGACGATCCATCCGACGAAACAAAACGCCCCTGCGGAGGCACTGTACCCAACATGCCTTCAAGTTATGGGGGATCTGTGGCACGAGGAAGCATCGGATGAGGAATGCAAGCTCGCACTGCTCATGGATGGCCAATCGAGGGGAGACTGGTGGCATCTTATCCGCCTCGACTGGTCAAGGGGTGACACATTGTCTGGCCATCAGAGATGTCACTCTTACGCTTAAGCAAGAGCGCCAGGGGTGCGGGTGCCTTGCAGGACTTCGGGTGGCGTCGAAGAGACGGACGGCCCAAGGAAGGCCTGGCATAAAACAGCAAATCCCGGCGAAAAGTGCCCTGTGTGCACCAAACATCCAGAATGAGGCTGAAGATGAGGAGTCGCCTTCCTGTGGCCGATGCTTAAACTGATCCTTCGAGATCACACGCACCTGGTCAACTGGTGCCGCGCGCTTGCGCAGACACTGGAAGGGCGGCAAGTTTTCCCGCTTTGACAGGGAAAGGACCGCGCAACAAGTAAACTGTCTAGAACACCTTCGCCTTCCCCTCATCAGCTGTGCCTGAAGGGTTCTTCTAGTGTTTCGCAAAGGGCTGGTGGGCGTATCCCTTGCGCGGGCAGCCCCTTGACACTCGGACCCTGGCTCTGAACGAAGAAAACACCACTTCGCCTGAACACTCGCCCAATGTAGCATGTCATAGACTTCGTGCCTCAACACTGAGCAGACTAGCACAGCATGTTACGATGTACCATCGCATGGCATAGCATAGCGCAAGCGAAGCATCGTAAACTACAGCGCAGCCACTCGCAGATCTCCAAACACAAGTTGCTCACAGTCTAGCATCACACATGCTTTACCACTGTCGGTCCTCCTCCTCCTCCTCCTCGTCCCCCCTCCCGAAGAAAACCAAGACGGCTCCTCGAAGGTGCCCAGGCGGAGGGCCGAACCCGATATCTACAGCCCTCGGCCCAAAAAAGCTCTCACGAGGCCCCAGTAGGGTCCTCCTGCTCTTCCTCCTCCTCTTCCTCCTGCTCCTCCTCCTCGTCTTCAGGGTCGGCGGCACCCGCAGGAAGGCTTTCTACATGCGTTGGGGGCGCACCGTTGTTGCACTACTGCACGTTGCAGTGCATTGGACTAACCGACCGCGGGCGATAATAAACCCCCTTGGGATAATATAGTGCGCGGTTCCCGCGGGGATAATGAAGGATTTTCCCGGGGAAGACAACTTATGCTGATGATGGTGACGACGATGATGGAGGATGAGCAGGAGGAGGAGGAGGAGGAGGAGGAGGAGGAGGAGGTGAAACAGGGCGCGCGACAGAAGCCTGACTCAAACGACCTCGAGGCTCGTGGCTACTTGCCCGCAGAGGCGCACTACGCAGAGATTGCTCGAGAGATCTCGAGGCTCGTGGCTATTTGCCCGCAGAGGCGCAGGACACAAGGCTGACTCGAGCGATCTCGAGGCTCGTGGCTGGGCGCCTAGAGCGTGCCAGCGGCAGAGAGGTCCTTGGCCGATCTGGCCCAGAAGCCCCTCTCGCGCCGGACATCGAACCTTGCTGTCGCTCGCCTCCTTGAGTTTACTGGTGAACTCGTTCCCTCGAGCGACCGCGGCGTGGGGATGTGCTGGCATTTGGCGGCCCTCGCCGCGGATCTCGCGCAGGGCGCGCTCGATCCAGCGGCTTGCCCAAAAGCCGCAACCCCAACCATCACCTTGGCACCGTCTGTCGCTCGGTGCTGGGCGATGCTCGCCAAGGCCTATGGCGCCGAGCTTGCGGAGGATCCTCGTGGCGGCCTTGGGAGGCCACGCGCGAACCCTATCCGCGATTTCTGAAGAAGAGGAGGAGGAGGGCGGGGTACACTTCGCTCGGGAGCTCCCAGGCAAAGTGAACCCCGCCTTCCCCCCCCCGAAATCGTGGGGTGTAGGCGTGAATTTGCGCGTGGCCCTTTTGGGCCTGCTTGGCGTTCTCGGGCGGCCGCTTGAGGGCGTCGCGGTAGTCCACCTCGCCGCCGCCCCCGTCGATGCTCGAGACCTGGCGGGAATTGCCGCAAGTGCCCCCTGCCCAGAGCGCCTCCAGGATTCGCTCCAAACGGGGGCGAAACGTTGGAGGCACCCTGGGGCGGGGGGGGGCATTGCAACAACCGCCGACCTTGAGGTACGTGTAGTGCGCGGGCGCCTCAGAGTGCACGCAGACCAACGCGCGCTGGGCCTTGTCGACCCTCTCGGCCCAGCGCTTCTGCTCCTCGGGCTGCTGGGCGGCGGGTGCGTCCTCGCCCTGGCCATCTCGAGCCCAGGCGACGGCCGCCGCGGGCTCGACCACCAACGCGTCGTCGGGGCGCACACTGGCTCCTCGATCTCGCCCAGCAGCCAGCGCACCGTGCCCAGCTCGAGCGCGCCGCCCTTGACGATGTGCTCGCAGTTTATGATCGCGCACTCCTTGGCGAGCGCGGCGCGGCGAGCGTGTCTTTTCTGGCGCCAGGCGGGCTTCTGCGGCTTGGGGAACTTGTTGCCCTGCTCGATCGTGACCTGTGGCGCTCGGGATTCGCAGGCGCTCGTTAGCTTCCGCCTGCTTCCGCGTCCGTCTGCTTCCGCCTGCTCCCGCGCTTCGCGTCGCTTCCGCCTGCTTCCGCTGCCAACTTCCGCCTGCTTCCGCCGCCCCAGGCAGAAGCAGGCGGAAGCTAACGAGTACCTGTGGCCCACGAAGCTTCGCTGGTGCTGGTCTCGGAAGATCGCCGCCGCGGTTTCCACCCCGAGGACGCGCGGGCGGCACTCGTTCTCGGTGCCCAGGACTCGCTAGACGTCCTGCACTCTGCCGCGCCTGCCCCCATGGTTCCCCTCCTCGGCGACGCGCGCCACGTTGCCGTGCCAGAGGGGGCTCCTCGTAAGCCTCGAGGCCGCCTCTCTGCTTGGCCTTGTCCTGCTCCTTGGCGTCCTTCTCCGCTTGTTTCTTCTAGTTTGTATTGGAGCAGCTCGCGCGCGCCTTCGGCGGCCTGCCTACGAGCTTCGCCTTGGCCACGCCTTTGCTGAGGTGCTCGAGCGAGGTCTCGCCGCCAGCCTTGCCCTTCTCGCGCTGCCACTTGCGAGCGTGCTTGCCCAGGGGCGGGCCCGCGAACTTGGGCGCCCACTTGTTCTTGCGTTTAATTGTCTGTGCCAGCTTGGTCCTGTTCTCGAGGGCGCGCGGGAACTTGGCGTCCTTGATCCGCTCCTCTGGCGGTTTGAGCACGCCCTTCTGCTCGTCGGTGAGCTCCTGGAGGCAGGGGTTCTCGCCCTCCTCGCAGTCCCTCGGCAAGTCGTCGGCGTGGAAGCAGTTGCCGTCGACGCTCAACTCGGGCACTCGCGGCACGCCCTCGGGCCAGCTCTGGGTGCCCTCGAGGCGCTCTTACGCCGGCCTGTTCTCGATGCCGCGGCCGGCCTCGGGAGTAGCTCCACGGCTCCATGCCCGTGGCGACCTTGAGCTCGCCTTGCTCTGTCGGCCGGACCGCGAGTATCTGGTTGGCTTGCAGCCCGTGGAGCGGCACCGCGTCCCTGTTCTGCTCGCGGAAGCGGGCGCGGGCCTCGGAGACGCAGTGGAGGCGCTCGCAGGGTCTCATTGTGTCGGGGACCCGTGCTCCTTCTGGGGACAGGTCTTGACCTTCGGGAGCCAGTCTTGCCCCATGGCCCAGTGCATCTCGGCCTTGATCTTCCGGATCTTGGCCTTGAGCTGGGCGTGCTCGCGGGCGTCGGGCTCTTCGGGGGACTCGCGACGTCGGGGGCCATGGGCGCGTAGATGAGATTCATGAGCCACGCTCGCAGCGCCACTGCCTCGGTCTACTGGCTCGAGAGACAGTCTGCGAACGCGAGGCTCTTGCCGCGCCCCTGCTCGATGAAGCCGATGGCCCAGCTTGCCACCAGCTCGTCCGCCGAGGCTCTCGGCTGCCCCCGCGCGCCGATGGCCTCGAATGCCCTCCCTCGCGCGTTCCGCCTCGGAGAACTCGAGCAGAGCTTTGCGCCAGCCCTTGAGCAATGCTCCCAGGGGCTCGCCTGCTCGGAAGCTCTCCGCCTCGCCATCGCCGCGCTCGTAGGTGGCGTCTCGCCGCCAGGTGCCCTCCTTGAGGTTCATGCCGCTGACTCGGCAGTGCCTTGCGCATGGGGGCAAGGAGCACGCCGCGCTTCTTGGCGGACATCGGCCCCCTGCCCGGGTCGAGCCAGTTCTCGACCGCGGAGACGCTAATCAGGGTGATCCTGTACTTGTCTCCTGCGCTGGAGTAGGCCTGATCCATTTGCTCCTCGTGGTCGGG